TTGCAGGAGCAGAAAGCCTCATCTTGCTCCCTTGGGGCTGCTGGTGGGCTCAAACCGCCAACCTTGTGGTTCACATTCCAGTGCTTATCCTATGGTGTCAACACATTCCAAAGAGTTCATATACAGACCTAGAAATACGCTATAGACTTGGGACTCTCCACAATGAGCTAATTTTTTTTAAAGTCTTCCTATACATTTAATTTCTAAAGCAAAATGTCCTTCTCAATTTCTTGTGAATGTTTTAAGTTTTACAAGTTATAGAAATGAACTCATATACCTAAAACATAACACATTTTCTCCATGCTATTAAAATGTAAACATAAGACAGAAAAAGATCCAGTAACATTATTTTCTATTATTTGGACTATTAATGAAGTATTTCATTGCTTAAAAAGTCAAGCTCTATAGAGATAAATCTACCATTCTTCAAATGTTCTCTTACAAGTTACAAGAGTGGTACATGTAACATCTAAACAGTGCTTCTCCCCCACTCCCATCTCCAGTACTTTACTTGGGCTTAACACTCTAGAGAGCTATTGAAAATCAGATAATACATCTCTAAAGGACAAGAAGCATGTCTTGTATTTGTCCTTCCCAAAAGGGTACCCAAGCACAACTTGTAACAAAATAGGTTTTACTCTGCATACATGTTAAGAACTTTAGCTAACTCATGCCACATATGCTGTAGTAACTAACCATTTAAGAGACTTCTGATATGCCGCTATCGGATCAGCACTGGACTGCTAATCACAAGGTCAGTAGTTCAAGTCCAACAGTTGCTTCTAGGAAACCCTACACAAAGTCTCTGAGTTGGAACCAACTTAATGGCACTTAACAACAACAACAACTTATGCCATAGTTATTTCTGGTATGGTACCAGATAATAAACACTGGATTCCTAAAGACAAGGTTGGTGGTTCAAACCCTCCAGCTGCTCCTTGGAAACCCTAACCAGGGTTGCTATGAGTTGGAACCAATTTAATGGCACTTAGGAACAACTCATAAGAGCAATGGTAGCAGAGTGGGTTACATGTTGGGTTAACTGCAAGGTAAGCAGTTTGAATCCACCAGCTGCTCGCTCCATAGGAGAAAAATGAGTCTGTCTGCTCCCATAAATATTGACAGGCTTGGAAACTCCACCCAGCATTGCTATGAGTTGGAAGCAGTTAAACAGTACACAACCACTACCACCACTCTGTCATGCTACATAAATTAAGCTTATAGTAAGCATTTCAGGAGACAACCAATAAGAAATCTAAAATTATTAAAGAAAAAGTTTCTCATATTATGTTGTAACATAAAAACATCCTCATGTAAATTAATATATAAAGAATGCTTTACACTAGATTCAGAAATCAAACTTTTGAGTTTGAGAAATCAAACTTCTAACACTGCAATATTAAAAAGTCTGCTCTCTTAAAAGATTTCATAAATTGAAATGTACTACTAATATGTGCTCATTAAATAACCTGTACCCCAGTATGTTATGTTTTCTTGAGATACTATCCTATATTCCCTGATTTTCTTTAAACAAAAAAGGTTCTGAGCTATTTTTCAAAGCCTTGGGACAGAAAAAGTTAAAAGTTATATGGTTAAATACATGCTTTCTCTCAAAGTGTAAACACTGACTAACCTTAACCTCTAAGCTAATTCTCATATAAAAGCCTTCTATGAAAAAGAGCTGCTAAAAAGACTAAGCATGAAATGCATACAACCCCAGCCTTATAAAAATCATTAAGAAAAGTTGTTATTAGAAATTTCTCTTCTTTAGAAGTTAGGCTAAAAGTAAATACACACACGTGTGTGTATACATATGCATATATATGTGTGTGTATATATGTATATAAAGATTTGGAGACATTACATCAAGCTAGAATGTTTACAGCACTTTGCCCTCTCTAGGTTAAAAAAAATTCAAAGTCTTGCCTTTTAAAATTACCATAAATAAACTAAAAAATATTAAACCTAAGGGAAATTCCAGAGTACAAGCAGCTGCCAGTTAAACTGCCTAAAAATTCATCAGCTCGAGAGAGTGAATGAATCCTTTAGTTATTTTTACATAAAACAATACAACAGGTATATAATTTCAATGTGGGACTCATATGAACATGGTCATCATTTAGTATGCTTCTATGATTTCTAATTGCCTTAGAAATCTCACAAAGTAACATACACAAGTATTTTCCTTCTCTAAGCATCAAACAATTAAGAGTATTATTTGAATTTCAAAAGTTCTTTCCTTTTCAAAATGATTTACCATAAGATTCCCTTAAATAACAAGCTTCCCTAGAGCCAATCTACTTACAAAGCATTCAACTTTTCTGCTTATAAATATGTAGTTTCTCCCAAAATTTCAAGAACCTATGTGGGCTAATGTGTCTAACTGCAAAGTTGTCTGAACTGCAAGGTCGGTGATTCAAACTCACCAGCTGCTCCTTGGAAACCCTATAAAGGGTCGCTATGGATCGGAATCAACTCGACGGCACTTAACAACAACAACATCAAGTATATAATAAAAGGAAATACATACATATAATTCTTTGAGACTAAATGAATGTTTTCTTTATTTGTGACCCTAGAAGAACTTCACATGTTTTAAATTCTTGTTTGGTTTAAAAAAAAAAACCAACAGAATTCAAAAAGCCTGGCTGTCTTGATGATAAAATAAAGATCAATGTAACTCTAAGCTCTACTCTAATGAACTGCAGGGAACAGAAACAAGCAATTTGGCAAGGGCTGAGCAAAGCTCTGCTTAAAGCTACCAGTAAAATATACCAGCACTACCCCTCCTCCACCCCCAACCCTTTAAGGTTTCAATTAAGCTGGGGCCTACTTCTACTCTTACAAGGGGGACAGAAAGAGAAAGCACAGAGCTCCTGCAGAGAAGTATCTTCCTCAGGAGAAGCTTCAGAAATACTGCCAGGAACCATTTCCTTCCCTCTTTGCTAACACAGGTTCCTCTCTGTAGAGAAAAGCATCTTTCTTGCTTCAACACAAGTAGCTAAAGAAAGGAAAGGTTTCATTACATTCCACACAAAAGATGGCATAAAATCTATTTAAAAAATATATATCTAGAGAGAGCTATAAAGCTTTTTGAAAAGTAGGTGCCGGTAACTACAACCCATCTTTCAGTATCTTCTATCAGTCAGTTGCCTGGTGAAATAGACAAGACAGGATAACATTATTTAACAAAGCATATTCACTTTTGAAAGAAACATAATGTCCCAATTGGTGAGAAAGAATTCCGCAAAAAACACAGATGAAGCTTTGGCAAGCCCTCCAGAATTCAGCTTTTCTATAGGTCCCCAGAGGCAAGCAGACAGCAATAAAAACTGAATGTCCTATGAGTAGTAGTTGATCCCACCATTCTTGCAGACTGAGAAGCCACACAATGTAGACATCACTACATCCCCAACAGACTACTCAATTTCTTTAGTGGACAACATAAGGGTAAATCTTCCAGACCAATGTGAACTGGTGAATAAATAAACCCAGGCTAAAAAAGAACCAATGAAAAGCTGACCCCTTCGAGAGTCTGAGTATGGAACACCACCAATATGTAAGGCATTATAAGATATCAAAGGTTAGATAATGGACAACAGGTGCCTTTGGGGAAGAAAGAGTGACTCTCAGTTGCCCCTCATTTCAGGATTTCTACTCTCTAAGCACTCAATAACAATGACCTTTGTTTCCCCCCAAAAAAGGCAGGGCCAACATTATAGTTTTCACTGTTTAATACCTACAATGGGCCCATTACTGTTCACCGTTAAGAAGAGAAAAAAAATCTATGTCTAGATAAAGTATGGCCTATGGCCAGATGTGCACTGATCCATGAACATTAACCAACTAGGGATTAATTATCAAGAAAGGCACTGCATACAAGCTATCTCCACACAAAATACTGAAAATACAAATCCAGCAGCAGGTATCACATAACTGCAGTATGAGCCAAAGTAGGAACTGTTTCTCTCACCATCCTAACAGTAGGGCTCAATCTTCACAGTAACCAGATCCCAATGGCCTCAAAGAATAGTCCTTCCAGACACAGCTTATAGGGCACTGAGTACCAGTCTGGAGTTCAGATTTCCCCAGCCGGCTGCAAAGTTTACTACCTTTATTCAGGTGAAAGGGTACACTGAAAGGATACTTCAGCCCACTGAATAGCCTCGTTCCTCTCCCTATTCCACAAAGACAACATATTCCAAAAATGGAGAGTCCTTGTTTTCTCTGACATAGGCCCCCTTTCCTATGGATTCATTCGGCAGGATTACTGTTCTCTCTAGCAATGCTTGGCGAACAAGCGACTTCTGCTTTCACGCTTCCTTTACAAAGGGGTCTCCCAACGCAGACGCACCTCTTCCTTTCCCGCATTAAGCAAATGATGCTTCTGCGGCTCGGCACCTCTGCAAAACGGGCAGAGACGTGGAAGGCGTGAAGGCATGTCAGCTTCTCTCAAGGTAACTTAAAAGACGTCTCCAAATTTAAAGTGCAGACTGAAAGGGCACCTCCTCCCCTAAGAGAGAATGGGGGTCCCTACCTTAAAAGGCAGCTTCTATGTGGCTAAGAGGTGTCCCCACCCTAAGAGCTTGGAATAAGGAAAAGTAGAGCAATGTGGTACCCTGGAGAAGAGGGTCTGGTGAGAGGAAGGGGTGTCCGTCCCAGCCCTGAAGGGGGGCTCTGTAGTGGAGCCATGAGCGCTTGGGCAGGGGTGTGTTAGCTCCAAGGGCCTCTCTGCGAGGAGACGGGTCTGGGAAGGCAGGGTGCCGCACTGAAGGGGCCTCTAGGAGGAAATGAGGGTCTCGAAGGGAGGAGGCTGGGCATGGGGGGGAGGGGTTCTCAGTCCCCGAAGCCCCTGGAGGGGCGGCAGCCGGGGAAGAAACATGTGCAGGAAACTACTGCCACCCGGAGGGGCAGAGGGGAGAGCAGGGCCTGGGCTATGTTCGGAGGGAACAAGGTTCCCACCCTGCGCAGCAGAGGGAGGACTCCGCAGCCGTACTCACCGAGGCTGCCGGCGAAACCGTCCATCTTGCGGGGGAAAGCGCCGGACTCGGGACTCAGCGGGGCGGGCACTTCATTCAGCGGACCGACTGAGTGGCCGACGCTGAGCCTGACCCGCTCGCTCTCTAGGTAGCCTGGCTCGGCTGCCGTCCCCCGCGTCCGTCGCCGTCCGTCCGCCCTCAGACAGTGCGCTGCGGCCGACCGCACTTCTCGGTCAGGTTAAGAGCCGCGCCGCTCAGCCGCTTGCCCGGCCTCCCTTCTAGGCAGCAGCAGCAAGCGCCGCGCCGCGCCCCGCCCCCCGCGCCCGCGCGCAGCGGTAGCCCCGCCCCGCGCACGCCGTCACGCTTCCGACTCCGCCTCCCACGTGACGACACGGAGGCGAGGTCTAGTCGAACCTCAACCCCCGTCACCTTGCCTCCGCCTCCAAGTCCGACAGCCTCACACGGAGCTGGTGGCTGCGCTTGCGCCGTGGGCCCCCCAAATTGGCACTGAGGCCTTGGGATGTCTGTCTTTGGCTGGTTACGAGTGGGCGGAGCTAAAAAGTGGCCTCTGGCCTGGGTTCCTCTGGGACGTCTAGGGATTTTTTCCCCTTGCAGCCCCTCAGGATTCCATCAAGGTACAGCAGAGCCCAAAACTGTACTCACCTCTATGGGAGATGGTCACCCCCATATGTGAGAATTCTGTTATTAAGTACTGTCAAGTGGATTCCGACGCATAACAACCCTGTATAGGGTTTCCGACGAGCAGCTGGTAGGTTTGAACTGCCGACTTGTGGTTCACAGTCTAGTGCTGATCCTATAGCGCCACACCAGGAGTGTGTGTATTACAAGGACTCTAAAGAGGTCTTCCCATTTCTCTGTAGAATGAGGGACAAATGGGATGAGCCAGCTTGACTAGAACGAGGCCACCAAAGCTATAGTTACAGGGCCTAAGGCAGAGTCCAGAAGCAAGGAATTTTAGTGTTGGACAGGACCCAAGAATTTATCTTGACCAGCCCCTTATTATGAAAGAAGATACTGAGCCTTAGAAAAGACTTCACATGCTCAAGGTCATGGAGCCTGGTAGAGGCAGAGCTAGAAGCAGGCTTCCTTACTCCCTCTGGTGTTCTTTCCACCAGGGATGAAAAACAAAACACACTGTCGCAGTCAATTTGACTAATATGACCATGTAGAACAGGGTAGAACTGTTTCTTGGGGTTTCCATAGCTGTAAATCTTTGCAAGAGTAGACAGCCTCATCTTATACTTCCAAAGTAACTGGTGGGTTTGAAACAGAGACCTTGGGATTAGCTGTCCAACCCCCAGCCCACAGTGCCACTAGGGGACTTTTCCAGGAATGAAAAGATACCCAGATATGCTGTATCTTAGGATTGCCTACCATGGAACTATTGTTGCTGTTAGTGCTTTCCAATAAGTTCTGACTCATAGGGACCCTGTATAGGGTTTCAGAGCGGTCGCTGCTGGGTTTATCCTGCAGCACCATACCAGGAGTCTACAGGGTTAAAATGAAGTAAACCAAGTTCTAGTTTCAAGTCCATGTGATTCAGTAAGTGAGTGTCAAAACGCCTAATTTATTTGAGCATCACTTTATTCATCTGCAAATAGGAGGACTGGATTTATAACCAGAAGTGCATTACCCAATAGCAAAAAGTAAAGACCGGCTTATTTATACCAGTCGCTGGAGAAGGATATCATGTTTGGTAAGGTGGAGGGTCAGAGAAAAAGAGGAAGACCCCCAACAAGATGGATTGGCCAAGTGGCAGCATCGATGGACTAAGCGTGGCAACTGTAGTGAGGTTGGCCCAGGATCGGGCAATGTTTCATTCTGCTGTGCATCAAGTCGCTATGGACTTAAAATATTTACTGATGCAGATCAATGATATTTTCATATGCATGTGAAACTTAAACAGTGAATAAGAAAGACCATAAGAGAAATGATGCATTTGAGTTATGGTGTTGGAGAAGAATATTGAAAGTGCCATGGACTGCCATAGAACAAATAAATCTGTGCTGGAAGAAGTACAACCAGAATGTGCCTTAGAAGCTAAGATAGTGAGACATCATCTCTGCTACTTCAGACATATTATCAAGAGGGACCAGTCCGTGGAGGAGGACATTATGCTTGGTAAAGTGGAGGGCCAGTGAAAAAGAGTAAGACCCCCAATGAGATGTATTGGCACAGTGGTAGCAGTAATGGACTCAGGCGTGTAGCAACAATTGTGTGGATGGTGCAGACCTGGCAGTGTTTCATTCTGTAGTGCATAGGATAGATATTAGTTGAAACTGACTTGACAGCACCTACAAGCAACAGTGAACTTCACATCAATTAATTTATTAAATGTATTTAATCTGTAACATAGTGGTTACGATTCAGGCTATTAACCTAAGGGCCAGCAGTTGGAAACTACCAGCTCTTCCGCAGGAGAAAGATGAGGCTTTCTGCTCCCGTAAAGATTTATAGCCTCGAAAACCCTGTACAGGGTCGCTGTGAGTCAGAACCAACTCCATGGCACATAGCAACAACAACAATAATCTGTAGTGAACAATTTCACATGTGTAAAAACTGTGTATTACAGATTAGTAAGTAAGCACAAAAAATCCTGTGCTTAGCTTGCTTACTGAGTAATCCACTCCTGTTTATGACAATCTTCATCTTCCTCCTTCCTCCCCAACCCCAACTTTCCATTCTTGTAAAGACAGTTCTTACTGCAGTTTGCCAAGGCCCTCTTGGCTCTTGGTTTGTTGCCAGCATCAGAACAACAGTTGAAGAGAATTGAAAGGGAAGAAGAATATTAAAGGTACCAAGGATTGCCAGAAGAACAAAAAAATCTGTGTTGGGAGAAGTACAGCCAGAGCTCTCCTTAGAAGCCAGGATAGCGAGATTTTCTCTCTCATGCTTTGGACATATTATCAGGAGGGACCTAGAGAAGGACCTCATGCTTTATGGAGTGGAGGGTCAGTGAAAAAGAAGAGGACCCCCAACAAGATGGACTGACTCGGTGGCATCCGCAATGCGCTCAAGTGTAAGAACAATTGTGGGGATGGTGCAGGACTAGCCAGTGTTGTATATAGGGTCACTATGAGTTGGAAGTGGCTAGATAACACATAACAACAACAAGAACACAAGAACAAAATTCACATATTTATGTGTATGTGTGTTGTTCTTGTTATTGTTAAGTGCTGTGGAGTCGGTTCCAATGCATAGGGACCCTGGGTAGGGTTTCCAAGTAGCAGCTGGTGGATTTGAACTGCTGACCATGAGGTTAGCACCTAACCTACAGCACCATACCTGGGTGGCACTGTAGGATAAACCCTTGTAGGGACACAAGCTGAATGCTCCAAAATGGCCACACTCATGTCAACTAAAACCGTATCTCCTATCCTATCTAAGGAAGGAGGGGACTGTTCTCATGCTTTAGTTATGCATGTGCTAGGACTGAGCCAAGAGCTCCCTCCTTCTTCTTTGCATACTGAAACTCTTTGTTTTTTAGGAAAAGGCAGGCAGCCCTGTACCTTGTGATTTTCCTACCTTTTCCTTGTTCCACATACCACCCTTAATTGCCTTGACACATGTGAAGCTTGTATACCCCATGCTATAAAGAGACCCTAGCCCACACCCCTCGCACAGAAAAACTTCACTGTCCAGCCAGCTGCCAATGGAGATAGGTGTCCACATCTTTTGTCAGTTCCCCTGTCATCAAACCATCTCTTATTTTCTGTTCTATAATAAGCTAATGTCTCTTGGATTGGTCCTGGTCGTTTTTTTGGTCTGTCAGAAACTACATACACAGAAGGCTTTTCCCTTCTGGGCCTAAACCCCAACAGTACTAGACTGCTAACCACAAGGTTGGCAATTCAAACACACCAACCACTCCTCAGAAGCCCAAGACAGGGTTGCTGTGAGTCGGAATAGACTCAATGACACTTAACAACAACATATGTATTTTCAAAAAATATATATGTAATAGGTGGATAATATAAATATTAAAGATACTAATAAAATTAATAAATATTTCTGTTAACCACTCAATTTCTGAGAAGGGCTCCATTCTGATAGCTCGCTCCCATATCTGTAATCAACACATTCTGCCATTACATCAGTTAAAAGAAAAATAACTTATATTGGTTTATCAGTGTATATCTATATATATAGATATGCACTGGACTGCGAACCACAAGGTCAGCAGTTCAAACCCTATACAGCACTTAACAACAACATATATTTTTTTTTAATTCAAAGAAGGATCCACATTTTGTGGATCCTGAAGCTTTTACTATTTGTAGAGCCCTTTTGCAAAAACCAGGGATCTCTGATGGTGGACTGGGTTAAGCTTTAGACTGCTAACCAAAATGTTGACAGGTCAAGCACATCAGTTGCTTCATGGGAGACAGATGACGTAGTCTACTTCCGTAAAAGTTTACAATCTTGAAAAGTCTATAGCTCAGTCCTATTTTGTCTTACAGAGTCACTATTAGTCGGAATCCACTCAGTGTCAGTGGGTTTTTGAGAAAAACAAATCCAGGACTACATATACAAAATTATAGTAGTGATGGTTGTACAAATTGGTTAATGTCACTGAATTGTACACTTTAAAGCAAATAGCAAATATTTTGTTATGTATATATTTCACCAAAACCTTTTTAAAGCCTGCAAGTGCTGAAAACTTTACCAGATTGAGAAATATATAATTAACTGTCCAATGTGTCTCCACTACTTTTATCCTAAATTTTCTATTGTTTCTTTTTTGTCTCTTCTATGTCAATCACTTTTTTTTCCTTAAGTAGATATTGGGTTCCTGCAATGTGACAGGTATCCAATGCTTCATGCACCTTACCGCATTTCAACATCACAGCAAGCCTAAAAAATAAATTATTTTTATTTTTTTAATGTTATACAAAGGATGGAAAGATGATACCATTTTTCCTCTAGCATGATACATCAATATTTTTTGTTATTGGTAGTTGGAATATATAAAACACGACTTCACACATAAAGTACAGGATACTTGTAACATTGCTGTAGGAATTGTGATTTAATTATATTTTATGTTGTTTCTATCAACAATAAGCACTGGACTGAAAACCACAAGATCAGTGGTTCAAGCCCATCAGCCACTCCGGAAGAGAAAGATGAGGTTTTCTGCTCCCACAAACATTTACAGCTTCTGAAACCTCTACAGGTCACTATCAGCAGAACTGACTTGA